ATTAGAAATAAGTGCACACAAGCCATTGAATCTTCAAATGGAGCTGTTCCTACCATCAGATGTTTTGGAAGTGGATTACATTTATGAATAACAAATCATTGCTATTTTATATATCAGCTTCATTAATGCCAGTTGTACGACTGGTTGACATTTTTCACTGATGTTGATTCAGCTGAGTTTTTTATATGGTCAAGTCCTTTTAGCTTTATGCTGTTGCCCCTTACTAAATCAGAAGTAGATCAGAAGTATTAGTTGGGTTTTGAAAAATGTAAAGCAACAAATCCACCGCCCGCATGGTATGAATCATTTTTTAACTAAAACTTGCTGCTCGGTTAATACAGTCTCTCTTAAAACTGCTGAGGGTTTTAAGTTAGACCTCAAATTCAATAAACCTATAAACCTGTATCCAGCTTTTAATGCCTTTCATTGCCTTTCTAAGTTCATGTGAAAAAAAATGTCAATGATTGTTTAAGCTGCAGTTAAGATAGCAATTTATATTTAATCTTATTTGCAGTCTGATTTCAAATTCATTCATTTCCATTCTAGTCATGGTTATGTTAAGTTTTTAGTGATATTACAATGGCTTTCAATAAAAGTCACACTTTCAAAGCTGTCTTTATAGATATATCTAAGACATTTGATACTGTGGGTTACATAATTTGTTTATAGAAGTTACATAGTACAGGTCTTGATATAAACTCCCTCCCATAGTTCTAGACTGACAGTACATAAACAGTATAAAGTCTGACACATTTGTTGTACAACCTTTTCTACTTACTAAGGGAGACCTACTGTACTGTACAAGGTCCTGTCTTCAGCCTCCACTTTTTTCCATGTTAACAATATTGCTCAGGCAAAAGACAACGCATCCACCTACTGTACATGCCAACAATACCGTAATCTTATACCCAGCTGGACCCACTTTTTTCAATAACGACATAATGTAATTGCAGTTTATTTCAGTAAGCTTCAGCAGGCTTTCTGTGACTTTATCTTTTGTTAATTTGATGCTATGCACTAAGAACAACTCAAATTGCTCCATTAGTAACGATCACAGTTTTTGTAAGAAAGATCAAATAAAAATGACTAAATTTCTTCTTGTTGGATTGTGCTGTGAATTTCAAAGTTATATTAACACCTTTCTTTCTATCTTTCACATTAACGAATGTCATATGATCTTTACTCTTTGATTGGCCATATCTGCATACTAGACAAATGATTTAATGGTTTAAGTTAATTTACCGATCTTTAATTGGAAAAACAGCTCCTTATCTTCATAATGTATTGCAATGTTCTGTGCTGTCTCATAATTTTAGATGTTCTCTTATCTAGCTGAACCTCCCAAGAGCAACTACTGACTTTGGTCATATATCTTTTTTGTTTGCTGCTGTCAACAAATGGTAGACTCTGCAGAGTCTGCTGAAACTGTCTCTTATGTATCGGAGACCATTTTTGCACAGTTAAATCTTTACTGTTGCTCCTTCTTCTGTTGCTTGTTGTTACTCCTGTCACGTTCTGTCAAGCTGTTAACATATATTGAGTATATAAGTAGGACCATAGAAATCGAACCCGGGACCCCAGCAGTATGGCAGCAATGCTAACCACTGCTCCATGGTGCCACTCTGAGTGGAGAATGTTTAAAGCAAAATATTTCTAAAAACCACATAGATCAAATTGAAACATAAAAGAAGTATATGGGCTACAAAAATAAAGGAATTACTTTTGCATTGAACTTTAGAACACAGTTACCAATTTTCTGTGTTTTTAGCTTTATACATAAAAGCCCATACAGTACAAAGTTACAAAATATATATAGAACAAATAAGAGTAGATACAGAGTTTTACTAGCAAAGCTTCATGTCTCTGATCTTCTAATTTATCCATGTGAACTCAACTACTGTATACTTGAAAGCATAAGGTCCCACAGACCCCCCTGGGCCAGTATGGTGACTTTGAAATTTCTCTGTTATGCTCAGAACTGAAGCTTCGGAGGTCACCCGCTTTGAACCACAATGGCAATTTGCATTTTGTGCTGAAGCATCCTGTAAAACAATGGTCTCAACATTTTCTTTTAAATGTATCAAATATCTGTTTATTCTTTAAATTATCAGGTTGTTCAGAAAAAATGAAATGCTGGCGCTAAAGACAAATTTCATCCACTTTATGTATTGTCCCCCGTTCAGATATATCCTTCTCACCTTAAGTTCTTTCCTGTTCAAAAACTAGACAGAGAAATAAATAGAACTGTAGCCTTTAAATTAGCTGGATATTTATAAATATATTTAATTGATTCATTTTCTATATTGCTTTTCTGATACTTTTCTATGTACAGTATACGTAAAAACATGCTGCCGTTCTATCTACTTTCTCTACCTACTGTACAGTAGCTATGTACTGTACAGTAGGTACAGTACTGTATATACAGTACTACATATATAAACTTTAAACACATCTTATCACAAACACGGTAAAAATACTCTTCTTCAGTGATGTATATTAATAAAAAGTAATGTCAGCATTTCATGACTTCAGATTTGTAACCTTTGCCAAAAGAATGCTTCACAATTTGAATGTGAAATGATCTGATTGGATTTGGCAGTTCAAATGAATATTTAAATTCATGTCTTTGGATGTCCTAGTCATAAATCTATAGTGAACTGATATACCTCTGAATTCTAATGCACTCCACACCACTGTCATTCTGTTATTTCTTACTACTTTTAAGCACATGGGAAAGCCTATAGAGTGAACAGGCCATTTGCCATTTTAGTTTATTTTATTTCTGGTAGTTGGCTCATTGAAGGACCTTGTCCTGCCATGTTTTTGAATGATCCCACATTCCTGTATATCTTTTCTCTTCAGATTTACTTTTAATTAGAACATTAAATATTAGCAGAAGCCCATTCAAATAAAAAATAAACTTTTGCCTACAGCAATTGTTTCTTTTATCTGATGAATACAGTTCATTTACAGGGATAAAGTTGTGCTTAATGACCGTAGTTCATGGCCATATTTCTCTGGGGCATTAGGAATTAGACGCTAATCTTAGAAGGCCTTTTGTTTCTCCTAATACTGCATGTCCTTACCTCAGACTATTAGGATAGAAGTGATCAAGTGTAGAAAAGGCAAACCCAGGCATACCAGCCTTATTAGAACAGGTCAGTTCTAAGATCCGTAAGTGTTTGAGCAGGCTTAGCACTGATATTTACACAAGTAAAGTGAGTGATACTGGATGTCTGTAGACTTTTGGCCTTGCGTCCCTGTGTAAGAATAAATAAAGATTATGTAACCTAACAGCATCTGGTATGTATGAGTGAAAATTATGATTATCCTGGATCACACCATTCCAGGATTGGAGCTGCCAGACTGCTGCATGATACTGAACCCAGGCTGATTTTAGTACTTAGTTACCAGTATGCTGCAGTCACACTTTTGAAAATATAAAAGTAATGTGAATAATCAAGAGTTTGCTTGTACAATGCTCACAAAATTAAATTCAAAGGCTATGTGTCAGGAAACTAGTTGGTAGAACAGGAGGATCCTTATGCAGAACCGTGATTCTCACAGAATGCACAATAGAACAGGCACAACCCAAAAGACATAGCCCAGGGGCTTGGTCAATTAGGGTGGCAATGAGTCCAGTAACCAGGGAAATCCAAAAGGTGTGGTCAAAAGGCAGGAGCAAAGATTTGGTACCAGGAGATCAGTCAAAAGGCATCAAAATGCACACAAGACAATTCTACAGGAGGCTTCTCAATAGTAAGTATGGGGTGGTGTGTGAGGGAACTTTAAATATGAAGGAAAAGGGATGTGGTTGGATAATTGGTCTGGGAGTGAGAATTTGAGGAATCTGGTGCATGTGGGAATGTGATGGGTTCAATTAGGAATGAGATTGTGAAACAGTGGGAATGCAAGGGCTTTTTGCGAGGGAGAGTGTGGGACTTGACACTATGTGATTGAGATTAGCTGGAATTTATGTTAAATTTCCCTAATCCTAAAAGACAGCTTTAAAGAGTCTATAACCTCTCTATACAGATTGTATACAGTTAAGAAAGGGAAATTGTGAATTGCTTTGTCTGACATAGTGCCACAGTAAATATTCTTCTGGAGAAGCAGGATTAATTGTGTGAACATGACTTCACCCTATATTGTTTCAAAACGTGCGGCAAATCCCATTCATGCTTTTACAGATATTCTAATCATATAACATTTTTCCTCATTTTTAGTGTGCCATGGCTGTATGTGAGTCCAATAGAGTTGCCATTGAAAAGCTGAGCTGACAATAGGAACTGTAAAATTCTATGCTTCTTTTCACAATGTGAAAAGATCAAAACAAAAATACCAAGCATGGCTGGGAACAGGCACAACTCCAGCTGACTCAAAAAGTAATTTTAACTTCCTGGTCAGCTGCACTTTTCACTTTGGCTTGGCTAAGGAACACAGAATTAACTCCACCCCAAGCTTTTTTTCAGAATTCTGAGGACAAATGACACTAGTTTATAAATGGACTCTTATTTGGAACATCATCTAGGATTAGCTGCCTGGAAGGTTGGAATATTTGCATATTAATATTAAAATATTATAACAAAAACACAATTTAACAAATTAAATCTAAAATATGGCAAGAGCAAAAGAGAAATCACTGGTCTCCTTGCTAATGTTTGGAATAATTTATAGACTAATGCTTGGTCTCAGTGAATTAAAACAATCCACTTTGTATCTCTGGGTGTTACCAGATGTAAGAGTAAATATTTTCTGATACCTGTTAGCACTGTTATGTTATTTAAATTTTATACTTATTTTCTTTCATTACTCTGTATCTGTGCCATACTGTAAAAATGGCATTGTTGTAAATTAGGATTTGGTCTCAATTCATGTATCTCATTAAAAAAATAAATACAAATGAACATTTTCTCCTTAAACCTGAAGCAGCCCAACTGCTTGTACTTGTACTAACAGAACATGTCTTATAATCCACTATTACTTGGTTTATCTTGCAGGTTTAACATCTGAAAAGATGGCCCATTTTGTACTCCATTGTGGATCTCTCTTAATAGCATTGACATGCTACTTAATGGGGTCAACTTCTTCGCTCAACCTTGAGGATCCAAATGTTTGCAGCCACTGGGAAAGGTAAAAACCAAAACCAAACTAGTACTAATCAGTCCACTTCTGGGAAGTGCCAATGCATAATTTATATGCATTCTATCATTTGCTTTTCCAGGTTTCCATTGCAAAAAATAAAAAAAGCTTTACAGCTTTTTATAGCTGTAAAATACACCACCTAGTACTGTATATACTGTATATTCCTACCCTTACTATTTGGAAAATTACAAAACCAGACATACAAATTTTTAAATAATATTTTATCCAAAACCTGAACTAAAATTTCTAAGGTTAAAATAACTTATACTAAATAAAAGCTAAAGAGAAAAAACTGAAATATGTTGATTGCATAAATATTCTGATTGGTGAATACAGTAGTTGAAGTACCTTTCACAGCAATTACGGACTCTGACAATCTTACACACCTCCTTGGTGCAATTTGTTTCCCATTCTTCTTGGAAGATGTGCAAATGATCTCTCAAGATTTTTGGAAATCACTTTTGGTCAGTAGTTACAAAGCCTTACCACAGATAAAAGGTAATATTTTTTATTACTTAATCTTTCCAATGTCTATTGGACCAATTCAATGGAAAGAAAAAGAAAATTATAGTAATGAAAATTTGCTGAAGTGGAATCATTTGCTATATTTTTTATATTTCTTTCTCACATATAATTGATATCCAAAGCTTTCAAAAATAACCCATTTAAGAGCAGCAGATTTTAAAGAACAAAGATAAACTTAGGTTTCCCAGATAGTTTTCACACTGTCTGAGCCATTTTAACAGCCGTTGGCATTGTCCATGAAAGAAATACTAATATGAAACATTGTCTTTTCACAGTTTGTGTTAAAGAGTTTGATTTGTTTTGCTCTGTTTGTTTAGAGATCTCTCACATTCCACATTCACTGTATTTTGTAGCCAAAAACAAAATTCAGACAGACAGATTTAATATTTATTATACATTGTATACATTCATTTTAAACTTTTGCAATCACCTCTAAGAAGGATATCTTGTTAAATGTTTGTCCAACTTGCTGGAAATTACACAGATGTGATTGAGGGTATGTGAAATACATTGAAATGAAAATTCCCCCCAAAATAAGCAGTGCTAGCTACAGTATGCTACAATGACTGTTTATTATGAGTACCATATTGATTGAGTACCGGGTCTGTATACATTATAACAGAGATAGAGAATCCTGGTCACACTTGAAACATTGATGGAAGATGGAAGAGTTTTTCAATTGATCCCATTTAGGCAATAATGGACAAATGTAAGTCATTAAGAGCAGAGCTGAAATGAAACCCTGCAGATACAGTGATTTTCCAGGATTAGTGCTGCCCTTTCTTGCTTTATTACATTGGGACCACTGGGATAAGCATGTCCTGAGGAATCACATCTTTTACACGTTAAGTGGTATCCTGAGCACAGAGCAAATATACAGTAAAATTCTGACAAGCCTACACGTCTGCAAACCATATGGAAAATCTTGTTTAGAAAAGCAAAGACCTATCAGAAGTGACACTGTAAATACACACCCAATTGGCTCTTTTCTAGATTAAAGTGGTATGACGAACTACACCTGGATATCCCTTGACCCAAATGCACTTGAATGTTGAATTTAGATAAAAAGTTGTTTTGCTGGACCACAGCCACAGGGGCCACAGGACACAATAAGTGACTCAGCAAATAACTGTTAAAACACCTAATGATCCCTTTGTGCCTTATATTCAGTGGCTGACTCCTGCTGTATGTGCAATCTCAGTTATCAGCTTGACAAGTGTGCATGAGTCATCTGATTTAGGTCGCTCAGAAACATCTCAATTTTCTTAGAGGGTCCCCAGTGTCAGTTTCTTTACTTATTGGATCCTCTCATATCTGAGCAACATTGTTACATATTAGAACAATATTATGAAGAGAGTTTTGTGTCACAGAGTCATGACTGTAAGCTTGTCGACCTAATTCCTTTATATAGCACAAACAGATGATCATGATGCTATTGGTGTTTGCCAAGCATTGCAACAATTGGTTCTGGAACATTGATTCTTTTTCAAAGTACCATTCACATACATTACAGTATCTCTGTTCCCATCTCTTTCTGGGGGAAATTTGGAATTTCATGTTAATTGGATGAATTATCATTCTTCTTAGAGGTGATTACAAGACTTAATATCCATCCTACAGTATATACTGTAAATTTGTACACTAGGTGAACATGCTGTACAGTATATACTGTACTTTAAATATCAACATTTATATACATCTAGAGTGTACTGTATATATGTGCATGTCATAGACATTTTATGCTTCTCTTTTCTTGCATTGCAACACACTATAAGATATACAATAATCATTAGAGTAGGTAGCTGCTAAGCAAATCTTTTAAATGTTTCTTGTGGTGTCTTAGTGACCATGTTGATAACATCCAGTATATATGACATAAAAATCAGAATTACGCATCCTGAAATATGCACGTTGTTAAAGTTGCATTGAAGTGTTAATTATTGCAGAGTAATTAGAAATTGTAGCTTGTCAGTCCAGTATAAAAGAACAATAGTTCTGTCTTATACATCTGTCACATTGCATGCAAAGAGTATTGGGACAGGATACAGACAGATATTCAAGACTATGTAGATTGTATGGAGCCAAGTTAAAAAAATGTTTTTCCAAAATCCAATATATTAAATAATACATCAAGCTTGTGAAATATATACTAAGATCTATATCACCAGATCACAACATAACTATGGATTGGCTTTATATATTCATTTAAAAATTCCTATGTATCATTTATGTTATGACTGCTTAGGAGTGAGGGTGTTTAGGAGTTAATTAGGAGTTTAATACTGTATGTTGTAAACCACCAAATTTAATTTAAAAAACATTCATTATGTTGTAATTTTGCTGTTAAAACACTAATGTAGCATTTGTATTGGACAAAATACAGTATGTGTTAGCATTAATTCATTTCATTCTTGAAATGTTCTCAAAATGTTATATTTTGAAAATTATTAAAGAACAAGAGTAGTTTAATAACTGTGGTTCAGATGTTTCCTTTCCTGTCTTATACTAGCGTATTTGCCAGATACGGTAATTGTTGCAAGACTTTTGCCTAAGTGAGTCCATGTCTCTGCTTTCTGTTGATCAAATTTTGTCTATATTGTATTGTCTTAGGTTCAATTATAGAAGACATACGGGTTTCCATCAGTAATATGGAAGCAAAACATAAGCAAAAAAAAATAAGCAGTGATGAAAGTCTTAAAGAGGTTTCTTAAGGACAAGAGGTCACATATTGTACACAAAATTCTGGAAATGTTTTTCAGGTGAAATAAATCTATGATAAAGCAATTCTGAAACACCAGAGCACACATTTGCATGCTTAAAAAACTGTATTTTTAAATGTTTATAAAGTAAAATTGGTTGGAACAGGGGTAATGTTGCACAGGACTATTCAATATGGGAGAACTCTTTGCTGTTCCATAAATCATTTCCCAGGAGGACAGAAAGAATCTGATATTTAATCCCCTTTGTTGCACCTTAATGGATCAGTTGTTAAGCCACTTAATGGGCTTATCATTATGTATTTCTTGGTGAGTTATGAGACCACACACACTTCATATAAATAGTATATCTACTAGTAATTGAATATGCACTTTTCTTCCCTCAGCTATTCGGTGATCGTTCAAGAATCCTATGCACATCCCTACGATCAGGTATACTACACCAGCTGCACTGACATACTCAACTGGTTTAAATGTACCAGACACAGGTAAGTTTTAGAATCTAAGTGGTTAATATTGGGTAGTGTTGGTATTAGCTACTGTCATAAGGCTTTTATTTTCTAATAATTGCAATCCTCATAGAAATGCTCACAAGTATGGCATTTATTTGATTAATACAGTACTTTGCTGTTTTTAATTTACATTTGAAAAGATATCAAAATGCGTTTCCAAATACAATAAGTGATTCATTTTTGAAATAACAAGGAAAATGTACTGTAAATGTTCCTGCTCAGAAGTTTAATTTGCAAGATTTATTTGTAGTTTGTTGAAGCTTACTGTTTTAGAAAATAATTCAGATAACACTAGAGGACACAATTGAATCAGATTATAATTTACAGTGTTCTAGATACTGTGCAGTATAAGTAAGATACACTATACAGGACAGTGAATCCTCACTTGTCAAAAAGGTATTTTTGTAGCAGATTCTTATTTTTGATCTAATTAGATCAAGGTGTTGTCTTGTAGAATTTATTTGGTTAGAATAACTACTTTGCTCTTTTCTTCTTGCTTTCAGAGTAAGCTACAGGACAGCTTATAGACGAGGAGAGAAGACAATGTACAGAAGGAAATCCCAGTGTTGCCCTGGGTTTTATGAGAGCAGAGAGATGTGTATTCGTAAGTAGTGTGTACAGTATCCACATGCTTAAAATCAACAAATGTGCACTTATGACAAATACAGAAACACAAATTTTGAAACCTAAATAAATAAATTACAAGTCATGAACATAAACCCTCTCTATATAAATCATTGTTTTAAGAAACTGTATATTCTAAATTAACTGTACATGTACAGCATAACAAAATAATTCAAAGGTAAATATACGATACAATACGATACACTTTATTAATCCTCAAGGGCAAAATTCAGATGTCAACATGGCTCAAAGACATATAGTAAAGAACACAAAAACACTGCACAGACATAACAGTTATTTCAGGACATATAGCTCAGTACATTGACACAATTGATTATACCATTCAGTACACAAGAACAGTAAACAACAGTAAAGGTCCAAGATTAGAAGTCTTAGAATACTTTGGACATATTCAGTGCTTGGGTGGGTGCAAGTAGAAGTTCAAGTTCAATATTTTATTTTATAGTTCATGGAATTTGGTTCTGTGAGCTGCTACAATTAAAGATATACTGTACAATACAAACACATATGCATCTTCACATTCACAAACCATCTTAAACACAATAAACCATCCTTAACATCCTAAAAAGGATCTCCTAAACCTCTCTGTGGTGCATCAGGAAGCTAAAAAGCAACACTGAAGAGGCTTTTTTTGTTTGAAATATCCTCGTGAATACATTTCTAAACCATTTGTAACTGGTGGCATCTCCTTAAACAATGATTTTGGCTAGATGGTTTTGTAAATGATTATCATTCTTTTGCATTACCTTTTATAATTTTTGATCCATTCTTTCTTATAGAATTCCTTCAAGGTATTGAAATGTGAAGGTTTTTTATAGGAATAGCTAACCCCAGGTCCTACCGTATGAACACTAATATTTGACATCACTCTGGGGTTCTTTGTGATTTCCTGGATGGATGTTTGGGTTGCTCTTAGGAAAACCTTGGCAGGATAGCCATTCCTCTGTAGAGTCCGTCTATATTCAGTCTTGAATATTTTCCATTTGTAGATTTTCTGTCTGAAAGTTCATGGATAGAGCCCTAAATGTTTAGAAATGTTTTTATAACCATCTCCAGACAGATGAGTATCAACTACTCTTTGTGATGCCCCACTGGGCGTGGTGAAATGAAATTGTCTAAAGTAATAAATGGTTCCAGGATAACAAACACATCCTTATAAAGCTGTAAGTTTAAAACCAGTGCTCTTAATTTTTGTAGTGTACTGAATAAAAAACAGCTACTGTACCACAAACCAAACCAAACCTGTCTTCTGTCTTCTGTCTTCTGTCTTCTGTCTTCTGTCTTCTGTCTTCTGTCTTCTGTCTTCTGTCTTCTGTCTTCTGTCTTCTGTCTTCTGT